CTGACCAGAGCCTCCCTGGGCAGCTGGGTCTGCACTTGCTTCATCCCTGGCGTTTCAGCCCCAGAGTGACAAGAAGTGAATTCGTGCTACAGCAGAGCTTCCTGGCCCGTGGTCCCTTATGGCGGGCACCTGGGCTGTGGCCCACAGCTCGGTCTCTGTGGGAAGCTGTCCACTGTGCTCACAGGTGGCCTCTTCCCCTCTGTCCTTCCATGGTTTCCCTAGGTAGCTTCTTCCTGTAATGCCACCAGGCACGTTGGTTGGGGCCCACCCTTGCGCTCTGTACATTCCAATCCTGACACTTTCTCCAGTACTGAGGCTGAGAATGCCAGCGCAGGAGCTGGGGAGACAGACGCAGGGCTTCACCTCAGCGGCCCGGTTGCCGTTCACTTAACTTCCTTCATGCTAACCCGAATCATCAGCATCAGGGCTGTGAAGGAGAAGAAAAGACGTCCATGCTCAACACCTAGTAACTGTAAGGTACATCCTGACTTTACAGACGTGAAAGCTGAGGAAAAGTTGTCTTAGACATATCATGATAGATAACTTTTTAAAAACTAAAAGCTTCCTGTAAGACTTAGAGAATCAAATCTCTCATTGTTGAAATTAAATTAAAATCCTCATGGTCCAGGACAGGGAGATGAGGAGGCAGCACCCCACAGGTCAAGGCAGGCGGGTCAGTTAGCTCCCTGTTCTCCACACCTCAGCAGCCCTGAGAGTTCACTGTGGCTCAGAGCAGAGAGTGACAAGGGCCCAGAGGGTGACACAGATAGAGCCTTCTGTTAATACAGTGGCCTGACACTCGCAGGCCCCCACCAGGCCCACGTGCCGCACACAGGCTCCTGGCAGCAGCATTTGAGCCCAGACCTCGGGCGGTGGCTGGATAGTGAAGGCTGTCACTCAGTGGTGCATTGTCCCAACATGCCAAGGATGCATCATCCGATGGCACTACTAGAAGGTAAGGGAAGTCTAGGAAGCGATGCCTGCTGAAGGAGGCGGGCCATGGAGGTGCAGCCTCGGGCTGGATCCTGCCCTGGGCCTTTCCTCCCAGGCTGCCCTTCCACTCCGCTTCGCAGCTGCCATAGGGAAGCGTCCTTCCTTCACCAACTCCTCTTCCAGGATGCTGTGCCTCTCCACCTGCCAAGCCTGCACAGATGGAGCCCACCTTGGACTAAAGCCTCAGGAGCCATAAGCCAAAATAAGTCTGTCCTCATCCCATGAAGGGCTTGAGCCAGGCGCTTTGTCTCAGTGACTGAGTGGGGACAGACACAGCTTAGCAATGAGACAAGGCTGTGTGACTTTCCCTTCCTTGCTGCTAGAGAAGAGGGGAGATGGGGCAGGAGAGGGGCTAGAGAGGGTGATGGGGTGGAGGAGGCCTCAGGGCACAGTGCATGCACCTACGAACAGCGCAGTGTGGCCTGTTATTCTGCACAATTAATAGGCACTAATAAAGCTAATGTGAAAATTTTTTAAATTGACTTTCAGGTGTGTATGCAATAAATGAATTTCACATTTAAACTTGGGCCCCATCCCAAAGATATCTGACTATGTTTATGCAAATATTCCAAAAACAAAAAAAAAAAATTTTTAAATCTAGACCCTGCTGGCACCAAGCAGTGTGCATCAGAAACGCCCAATTTAAGGGCATCACCGTCAGATCGGCAGCCAGTCCTAGGGACTGGCCACACAGCACCACCCTTCTGGGCGGCTGATGCAGGAGCAAGAGCCCTTACTTCTCCCTGAGGGTGAGGCCCAGAAACTTAACCCCATCACCCCTTACCCTCAAAGTCACTGGACAGCCAGCCACGGCCCAGGGCTGAACACGAAACCAAAAATCATGGACTCTTTCAAGAGCTCCCCTCCCCATAGCCGCACCTCCACCACCCCCACCATCATCTGCATAATCTGAGGCCCAGCATGGCCACTGCAGATGTGGAGAGCTGGAACTGCATGCCGGCCTTGCTGCTGGCTTCCCCTGAGCATGCAGGATACCTCGCTCTGTCCACACTTTCTCCTTGTGACAAGTCCTGTGTCCCCAGATCTGCCAGCTGCATCAGAAGTATCTCTAGTGGCCAAGAAGAGGTAAATGTCACAGCCTGGCCACTCTCCCACCTCAGTCTTGCTCCATTTCCGAGCTGTCCTTCCAACATCACCCTTCTTTGCAGTCATCCCCAAAGATTCCCAGTCAGCCAGGCCTGGTGCTGAAGGTCTCTAATACCAGCAGTCTGGGAGGCTGAGGCAAGAGGATCACAAATTAGAGCTCAGCTTGAGCAGCAGTCCAGCCCTGTCTCAAAACAAAGAAGAAAAAGAATTGAAAGAGCTGTGAATGTAACAGTGTGAAGGCCCTGGGTTCAATTGCCAAGAGAGAGAGAGAGAGCGAGAGCGAGAGAGAGAGAGAGAAAGCAGCGCCAGACAGACAGACAGACAGAAAGACAGAGAGACAAAGACAGAGACAGAGACAAAGAGAGACAGAGACAGAGGGAGGCAGAGGGGCTGCCACTCTTACGTCGATGTCCCTCTCCTGTAACCTGTGCCTGGATGGCCTATCACTCTTTCCTCCAGTGCTCTGGCCTCGTGTCACCTGGGAGGTGGGCGAACTCCAGAAGGGAGCAAGTGCCAGGCTCCCTGGGCCTCTGGGGCTTCCTGGCCCCTGAGACCAGGCTCCTTCTTGGAGCTGGCCAAGGACAGTGGAGAGGGAGAAGGTGATGGGCAGACAAGCAGCCTGCTATTCCTGGACACATGAAAATACACCTTTGCGAATGGCGTGGCCAGGACAGTCCTGCCTAGCTCCCAGCACGACTCTGTCAGTCTGTTCCTCCTGAAGTCATGCGCCAAGTCGAGCCAGGCGGTGAGAGGGGCTTTCCAGCTCCGGGGCTCTCCATTTGTGGCCTCAGTGCTGGATCCATGAGGACCGCAGTCCCTTGCTCCTCTTATTGAAGGTGGAGGCTGACAGTCTGTCACTTCAAGGCAGAGGAACGGGGACATGTCCCAGGAAGGTAAGATGCCCTCTCCAGCTTCTTCTCCTCAGCCCATGGCCTTCTCCCTGCGTCTCTGCTCACGTGGGATGTGCTGCTCTTCCAGGTCATCTTACATCCTCAGAGAGAACTTGACTCATGGCATAATTACAGGCTGCTCCGTTCCCACCGCAAGTGGCCCCAGACTGCCGCCGCCCCTTGCGGCTCCAACGCCAAAGGAAGCCCGGCATGCCTGCGACACGTTGGTGGACACCCACTATCAGCAGCAGCCGGGCAGAGGCCACAGTGACTCAGTGCAAAGCACCGCATGTCGGGGTCTGCAGGGCCCGTCAGGACAGCCTGCCTGGTCCTCTTGGTCATTCATGAAACATTTCCTGGAGGGCGGATCGTGCCGTGGTAGGGACAAGAGTCTGAATCGCACAAATGGGGATGCTGTGGCCTGGGCAGGCTGCAGGGCATGAAGCTGGTGGCTCCCTCCCAGTCCTTTGTCCTCTCTCCTGAGAGAAGGTCTCTGGGGCTACAAGCCTCCTCAGTGCAGCTCTGGCACTCAGACAACTCTGCTCTCTGCCCACGTCCAGATGGGTGAGCAGCCCCCACTCTGCCTGTGATTGCTGCTGGGGCCGAAGGCACCGAGACACCGCACAGCTTGGTCGCCCGGGCGTGTTTGCCTCCACCAGCACCAAGCTGCAGGGCTCGCGTGGAAGCTCAGCTCCTGGGGAAGGCTTCAGGCACCAGAGCCCAGCGCGCGTGTCCTGTGCTGCTTCCCGAGCCAGGCCAGCTGGGCCTTCTGCCAGAGCTCTCCTCATCGTTTTAATTCAGGTTGTATTTGTGTTAGTACAGTCTCCTTCCACGGCTCCAGCAGCAAAGACACAGAAGTGTGTGTGCATGTGTGTATGCAGAAAGAAACACGCATGTCCGTGTGCACACACAGATGGATAGATAGATGATAGATAGATAGATAGATAGATAGATAGATAGATAGATAGATGATAGACAGACCTTTGCCACCATGACAGACCTCTCGCCAAGCTCCCGCTGTACCTTGCTCACCCTTAGCCCCCTCATCACCACTGGCATGGACTGGTGGAATCTGCAGCAGCCACCCCCCACCTCTCCCTGCTCCTGAACGCCCGCACCGCTCCTCCCCGGTTCCCCATTTTCTTCACATCAATTGCCCAAATCCCTCTGAAGATAAAATCCTAGGGGAAACACCCATCTATCTGCCGTTTTGGGGTCATGGCTCCTGTGTGACCACCGGGCTGGCCCCAATTGCTCCTCCCAGGAGGTCCCAGGAGCCTCCTACTCACAGTACGATTGCAAGAAGATCTCCCAAAACACCACGTCAAAAATTGCTCATTTTCCACCCAGTTTTCTCCTCATTCCACATTCTCTCCCTGATTGGCTGGGAGAGCTCCACAGGGGCCTTGTGTGACTCCCGGCTGAGATTTGGTCACAGAGCCCTAAAAGAGAAGTCATGTGGCCAGAGAGGAGGCAGAGGCGTGCAGCCCCGTCCCCGTGCTTCTGTTGTCTGTGCTAATTTGTATTCACATGCCCTCCCACCCCTGTCACAGAGAAAGAGTGTCCCTCGGAAAGCCTGCTGCACCCACCATCCCCTGGCCAGCCCAGCACCCTCCTCACCTCCTCGCCAGGCAGCAGCGGAGCAAGCCGTGCTCGGGGACAGAGACCTGGCTTTTGGTCTAGCCCCTTGGGCTTTCATGTCTCTCAGTCTGTGAAATAAGGAGAAAGGTGAGCTCCCTCCTAAGGTTACTGTGATCACCAGAGGGTAACGACAACCATTTCATTAGCGGCAACAGGGCAGAGCGTGACACCCCATCAGACTCTCCTATTGTTTATGGGATTATTCGAACCAATGGCATTGGGGATATTTTATAGACTGGCTGAAATGTGACTCTAAAACTTTGTATCAAATAATTCAGGAACTACCGCGCCTACCAGTGGGACTCCCAAGCAAAGGGACAGTCCCTGAGAGGCTTCTGATTCAGTCACGGTCAGACCCATTCGGCTGCAGGGGACATAGCGAGGAGGAGCCGTGCACCAATGTCACATGTATAGCCTGAGGGACAGACTCTTCCTGGGTCACCAAAGGCAGCTCAGGGTGGAGCGTGGGGGACCTAACAGAGCCTAACCCATTCCAAAAATCAACGGCTCAGGACAATGGTTTCTGAGATTCCAGGTAATGATTCCGGGCGCGGTTGTGGCATCGGCTGCTGGCCTCAGCCCATTCTGCAGCTGGCTGCACTGGGGCCCTGGGCTGGCCTTGCTGACCACAGCTGCTGGGGGCCTGCAGGGCCTGTGGTCTGAGTCGGCACAGGGCTGCCCTGCCATCCTCTACTTCAAGAGGCCCAGCTACAAAACTCATGGGTATCACCACAGCCCAGTCCAGGGAAGGGACAGCAAAGCCGGCTCCTGAAGGGACCTGCGGATGGGGATGGGGACTGGGGTTACTAGCGTCCCTGGGGGCTTGGGGGCATCTGCACGTGGAACCCACAGTCACGGTCGGCTCTCAGGCAGGGCAGAAACAGGGGCAGATCTCAATATAGATTTGTAAATAAGTAAATGCTGACTATGAACCTGAGGGGAGAAACAGCGCAGGCCAGACAGCAGTGCAGCTGCAGGACCCTGCACATAACTGCTTCCCAGCCGACAGCGTTGGTCTCCCCAGGACTGCTCAGGCTCAGGGCGTCCCAGGCTCCAGAGGTTCATCTGCGAGGAGGAGTTCTATGCAGACAGACTGCACGCTTGTGAGCTGACCTTTCCCTTGCCGTCGCGCGTGACCCATGCCTCCCCAGAGCTTGGATTCTGCCCGTTAGTACAGGACAGGGGCTTATGGTGTCTGTCTGTCTGTCTGTCTGTCTGTCTGTCTGTCTGTCTCTCTCTCTCTCTGTCTGCAGGATTTGGGGTTTCAGAATTTTAAGACTGTAAGCCTTGGGGACTTTCAAATTTAAGGATTTTTATCTTTTAAATTTCAACATTTGGGATGACGGCCTTTAGGAGCGTGCCTCCCAGGACTACAGTTGATTTTAAAAGCCCCAAATGAATGTTCTAAGATGAAAGTGCTGCCTGAGACTAAAACCCAGCACCGTGCCTGGGACTTCCATCAGATTAGGTGCTGCGGAGGGAACAGACACCGCCCGGGGGCAGCAGGACAGCACCGGGGCCTCCCACGCCCACAGCCAGCCTCCCTAACAAGTAGGAGAGGGGGCTGGGAGTGGACGTGATGGGAGAAACGACCACCAGTTCTTCCAGATTTGATGTAAATAAGAATGAGCAGACCCGGAGTTTGAAAGACACCGGGCAAAAGCAAAGCGAGGAATCAGCATATAGCAGGTCGCTTCAACTGTGGAGTGTCTTGCAAACCAGCCTGTAGAGGAGATCCACCTAGAGACAGGAAGACAGGACCGCGGCTCGCACCCTGGCTCTGCGAGCCGCAGGACGGCGCTGCGGGCTCAGCCCCCGCAGGGGAGGCACAAGCACAGCGAGACAAAACCCGGCATCCTGCGCCGCCAAACAGCAAAGCTCCTCTGCTTTACAAATAATATCTGACTCACCCTCTGAGACTTGTGCTACCAAAACATGTAGAAGAAGATTGTTCAAGAATAAGTGATGGGCCTGCCAAATTGCTCAGGGGATTAAAGCTCCTGCAAGCAGACACAGCGGCAGGGGTCAGATCCCGGACCTGCCGTGCCGGCCCTGCCCCCGGGGCGCGCTGGAAGGGCAATTGAGCCTGGCGTGGCAGCATTTGCACCTGTAATCCCAGCTTTGGGAGGCTGTGAACAGGCGGATCACTAGAGTCAGATCTAGTAGTGAGATCCTGAACACCCTGTAGACCTTTCAAAAAAAAAAAAGAATAAATAATCCTATAGATGCACAAATTCAAGATTTCTAACCTGTACAACATATCACCCCAGTTCTGGTCCACAGTAGCCTCAGCCCTCGGTCCTCACTCTGTTTTGTTTGTGTATTTTAATTCTGTCTAACAAAACCTTTGTATAGCTCTCAATAAGAAAGTAAAAGGAAGAAAGCAGTTAAAAATGTGAAGATATATAAAGAAATGACAACTATAAGAATATGTTACTATAAGAATTAATTGAACTATGAGGTTTAATTATTTGAAATGGACTTTTAAAATAAAATATAATTTAATGTATTAGTAGATGATAAAATATGGAGTAGTAAAATTTATGGAAATGTTATTAAAATAGTGGGAAGCTGGGTGTGGTACTTTGCACCTGCAGCAACAGCCACTCTCGAGGGGGGACTGATGTCTGTCTGGGCCTTATGAGACCAGGTGACAGCGACCACGGTGTAACCTCAAGTAGTTTATCCCCAGGGAGGCCAGCCTGGCCATTCCGTCCTTATCCTGAGGCCTGGCCTTGACAGATGGGCCTTCAGCCACAGCCGTGGTGAGCTCTCCTCTTCTGCCCCGACTCCTGCACGAGCGCAGCCCTGTGTCACAGCTACAGCACTTCCACCTACCGGAGGGGTCCATCACAGAGGAGCCCCGGTGGAGCCAGGAAGGAGAGGCAACCCCCAGCAGGGAGCCAGGATGGCCGGAGCCCGCCTGCCCCAACCCCCGCCTCCTCTGAGCACCTCTGGGTGTCAACCTGACCGCAGGCCACTCTGTACCAACTGACAGGCTGACTCCCAAAGGTCCTAGCTCACCAGAAGTTCTGAGACAGCGCAGAGACTGCTCATCAACCGCGATTTGAGGCTGGCCATCCATCTGCTCCATCTAGGTGGACGGCTGGTGGAGCAGACCCAGGGGATCGCTAAGCAATTCGTCCCAGTGTGACCTGTGCCACCAGCTCTAAGTGCTAGTGAGCCGCGTGCACACACACAAGCCCCGCCGTGCGTTTTCTAAGAGAAATGAACATGGCAGTGCCCTGGGGTCTGGCAAAGCCACCTTGAAGGCCCCATCGCTCCTGGGGGTGCTGCTCTCCCCTGGCCCATCGGGGGAGCGGGCTAGCTGTCACAGGGTCACTCCACAGCCTTCCATAATAAGGGTGCTTGCCAGTGACTTTAAGAAACTGAGTGGAACAGAGGATCAGATCTGTAATTCGCAGTATATATACAGATTTCAAACAAATATATAAAAATATAGATTGTCCAAATGGGAGCTCTTCTGCATGCTAACAGCATTTTCCAGGTTACAATGATTCTGTCCTTCACTGGTATTAAAAACTCCATTCCATACTAGGTGTGGTGGTGCATACCTGAAATCCCAGGCCTCGGGCAACTGAGGCAGGAGGATCACTGTTCAAGGCCAACCGAAGTGCATAGTGAAACCCTGTCTTAAAAAGACAAAAAAAATTTTTTTAATACATATATACATATTCAACTATTTCAAACAAAAAGAAGGGAGGAAATGACAAGGGAAGGAAGTGGGAAGGACAGAGAGAAGGACAAATTAGCTGCGGCTGGTGGGAATGAAGCCAGGCGTACTGGTCGGGCCCACCCTGGCTCTTGTCACACAGTGTGGCCAGGTTCACCTCATGGCTGCCCTCAGATCTGCTCCCCTCAGTGGGGCCCACACATAGGTGGGCTGTCTCCATGAGGAGGAGGTGGGAGCCCAGCCCCTGTCCCATCCAGGGCTCACAGCCCAAAGCCAAGCGCTGACGCCGGCCCGGTGGCAGCCTCATCTCTGGAGTAGCTGCTGTTGCTTGTTTCCTGGGGATGCTGAGAGGAGGGGTTCCACCCTGCAGCCCCCCGAGGTGTCAGGAGGAGCAAGTTCTCACAGGAAGGGGCCCCAGGAGAACAGTGTGGCACGGAGTTTCAGAAGGGTGAACAGACGCAGCCTTCACAAGGAAACTAGAAAATACTGACTGGACAGTGAGCTGAGCTGACCCTCCCTGACCTTGGCCGTCTCTCCCCACAGGCCAGGATCACATTTTATCCACAGTTTGGAAACTGGAAACTGGAAAGGAGGAAAGCCGGAAATGACGAATAAAGGGGCAAGAAAATGATTTCTCTCCTTGGCCTCTACCTTAGGAAAATCAGTCAAAGCTGGTACAGCCTAAAAGTATTGACTGTACACACAATCACAGAGGGTGGGGAATCACCACGATGCTGTGGAATGACAACATTAGCAGGCATTTAAGATGCTGATTCCAAATAATTTAACCAACGTGAATTGTTTACTGTTCCCATTAAGTGCCGAGTGCAGAGAACGCACGTGTGGTTGTGAGGAGCGGAACAAGAACCAAACCTCACTGAAAAGATCGCGGCCCCCTGCTCTTCATGCAGCAGGCAGGGCTGAGGGGCCGGGGCTGGCCTCGGGTCCACGCGGGACAGGCCAGGCCTAAAAGTCCTGGAAGGAAAACAGAGGCGCTGCCACAGACTGGAAAGGCGCCACGCTGGCTCGCCCCAGGCACTGCGCGGGCTTGGCCGGGCCTTCCTGCACCCTCACCTGCCTTCTTGGGGCTCGGGACCTTGAAGTACAGCCCTGAAACTGACTCACAAAGGTGAACAGGAAGGAGAGGGGAGGAAAAGATGGAGGAAGACAGCGAGGAGGGCAAGGAAAGAGCTACCTGGCCCCAGTTACTTTTTGCTTGGGTTTCTAAGTTGTTCACTGAGGGGAGGGCATTGCCACAATGAGGGTGAGAGTGGTGGGGAGGAAGAGGGACAGGAAGGGGCAGAACTGCTCTGAGCCGCTCACCAGGCCCAGAGGATGAGGCCCGTATCAAACACTTGATGTGTGCAGCCGTCGCGCCAAGTCCGGGGGGCAGGCCTGCTTGGAGAAGGCCCTGGAGCCGCGGCGCAGCCTGCCCCGGGTGAGACCCGCCTCCTTCCCACTCTCAGAACCCCCCGCTCCCCTGTGGCTGAAAGAAAAATGTATGTCTTTCCCTGTCTAAAAATGACTTCTATATTACTCCCTTCCCTAACTGGAAGCTGACATTTCGGAGAAACTCTGGTAAGATCCAATTCATTTAGACACATATTAAGTTTCTACTACAAGAACTAGGTTAAAGCTGAAGCCAAGTATGTTGACCGCTGTGGGCTCCTTCTTCTTTTTAAAAACCCTGTTGTAAGTTAAGCTATAACCTCGAATTAATGTATCTGGTCTTTGAGTTCTTTTCATTTTTCCAATAAAAACAAAAAGACTCAAGCTGGTTAAACAGTTCAGCTAGCTTGACGAGCATTCTCTTTTGTGTAATCTCCAAAGCTTACTATCACACTAAAAAATGGCAGGCATTGAAGAAACTAAAGGGGAAATTCGCAGGGGCCGCGCAAGCCACCTCCATACTCGGGGTCCAGCCTGGCTCCAGGGTTCTCCCTGGGAAGGGAGCAGCTTTTCAGAACAGAGAATTGGCTATTTACCCTTCCAATGTATTTGGCTTTTATTGACTTGAACACAGAAGCCAAAAATAAAAAATGAAGGCAACCACCAAGTCTTTTAACTCTATGGGCCTGTGTTGTCCCAATTTTAAGCACTCCGCTTCGGGTGCCAGCGGGAGGAGAGAAAAACGGCAGTGAGAAGAAAAATGAAAACACATTTTAAAAAGAAAATATGTCTTCGCAAGCAATCACTTTACTTAGTGGAAGCCACAGCTTTATGACTTTTCAGCAGACAGAGAAGTGTATTTTTTAATTCTCCCGTTCCTCGGGGGCACTAAAGCCACACTATAAAGCAGCGGGCTGCCAATCAGTCATAAAAAGCTTAACGGATGATGACACGCGTGACAGCGGGGTGATATATCACCACCCTTTTAAACCAGAGACCAATTCTTAATTCTCCAAACTCCTCATAACAAAAGAAGCCTCAGAGAGCAGGGCAGAGCTAACATCGTCGACAGGACGGGGAAGGCTCGGCTTGCCTTCCAGCCCCCGGCTTGTCCAAACTGAACCCTGCACACAAACCTGTACTTGTGAGCTGCCCTCGTCCACCAGTTAATCAAAGCCCTGGAAGTCCGAGGGGACCTGTGTTTATGGAAATCTGGTGTTTCTGTAAAGTTTTCAATGAGGCTAAAGAGAGCCGTTCATCTCATTTTGAAGCTGATCTTGCCAAGTGGTTTTCCAATGCCGGGTCTTCTGGCTTGGTCAGCATTTAGGAATTCATTTATGAGCTGGGCTAGGAGGAGCCTCTGGAATTCGAATTTATGTCTGCAGCTCACTGGCTTGGTCCTGATCTGTCTCCAAAAGGAGATTGCAATCAGTTTGCCAAACGCAGGCTTCAGGAAATTTTCATATCCCGAGAAGAAGCCCTGGCGTGGAGGCTTGTCCAGGAGGGAAAGCGGGTCCTCCACATCACGCCCCCCGCCCCCCGCGTGCTCCTCCCGGACTGCCTGGCCAGGGGCAGGAACACCCTCCCTAATGGGCTTGCCAGCAGCTTACAAGATGGCGAGAGACGTGTGGCTTGTCACCTCCCTCTTGGTGGGAGGGGCAAGGGTGCAGATTGTTGTTCATCCGATTTGTTTCAGAGATTTATCTGCCTGGCAGTGCACCAGGAAATGAGAGTGCACACTTGTTCATGGGCGGGTGTGCATGCATGCACATGTGTGCTCATGTGCACGTGTGTGTGCACATATGTGTGCACGTGTGCATGTGTGTTCACTCAGTCTCACAGACCTCCCTGCTTTAGTTTTCCTGGAGGCAAAGGGCGCGCCCTCCCTTTCAAGGTAACTGTAAATTCACTGCTTTTTAAAAGATTTCCTTTGAAGAAGCCATCAAATAAATTAGCAGGGCTGGAAATGTGCTTGTAGCTTGTGCTGGCTTTGGGTTTTAGGGAGTTACTTAATAAACAAAAGCCAGTGAACTCAAATAGTAACGAAGTAATTTAAATGATTAATCAAGTGTTAAAACTAGTTTAACCTCTCCTGTTGTACAAACTCTATATCACCCTGACTAAACGAATAGAGGAATAAGACACCCATCTGGGAATCTCATCTGAAATATTAGATTGGGAATCTAAACTTCAGCCAAATGGTGTGGCTTGTAGGGATATCCTGCCCGATAATAAGTTGCATTAATCTTACTTAAATTTTCCATCTAAATCATGTCCTGAGGCCATAGTACTCTGAGGAGTCTATGCCTTATTTTAAATGCATTGTGCTACTGAAAATGATATTAACACGGGGTGGGGAGTTGTCGGTTTTTTTCTTTTGTCTCTTTTTCCTCCTGTTTGGTTTTTCCAACCTTAAAAATCCATATGAAGTCTCCTGGCTCTTTTGGAAGAACTGAGTCCCCCGGAGCCAGCAGGGCTCATCCCCAGCACCCCCAGAGGCAGGCGGCGCGCTCGGCAGCCCCCAGCCCCCTCCTTCCTCCGCTCCTTTTGGTTGTGAGCTGGGGGGCGGCCTCCTTGAGGAGTGGGTGGCAGGAGGCTCCTTCCTGCAGTCTCTAATGCAGCCTTCTCTTTCAGTGTTTAATAGAAAACATTAAAACCTGCTGGACTATTTCAACCAGGTTTTTAATGCCAGGAAGGAAAAAATACATCCTCGTGGCTTCCCCAGAGCTTCGGGAAAGGGCTCCCTGAAGCTGTTTGCAGCCCACACCTGTCTTTGCCTTCCCATTCCCAGATGCTACTAATAGGAGGAGCATCTAGGGCGCTAGGAAAACCTCCGCCCGGACTCGAACCTACAATTCTCGGCAAAGTCCCTGGTGTCTGCTCCTTTGGCGTCGCAATAGGGGAGACACTTGGCAGAGCCCCGGGGAGGGGGACGGGCAGCAGAGACAGCTTTCTGTGGCTCCCTGGCACTCACAGTGTCCGAGGGCTGGCCTCACCGGCTCCACCTGCAGACAAGGAAGGAGGACGGGAGGTTCACCCACCTGTTGGTAGTGGCCATGCGGCCCACGAGGGACTGCATCAGTCAATCTTCTTCTTGGGACAAAAATCCTGATGCACACAACTTCAAGGAGGAGAGGTTGCTGTCCACCCACGGTGCCAGAGGCTGCAGTCTGTGGCAGCCCGGTTCCAAGGTGGGAATACAGTGGTGGAGGGCATGGAGGAAGAGATGTTCCCGGCAGCCAAGAAGCCAGGCCCAGAGGGAGAGCTACAGCAGAAGGGGCCAGGGACCAGACGCAGAGCCACAGCCACACACACGACCTGCCCAGACACACTGGCAGTGTGCTTCGGAGGCCAGCTAGCTAGTACAGAAGCCAAGCCCAGCCCTCTAGGAGGCTGAGACAGGAGGGTGGAAATTTCAATCTCAGCCTGGGAAACTTAGTTCCTTAGCAAGAACCCACCTCAAATTTAAAAAATAAAAAAGGGTTGGAAATGCAGCTGAATGCACAGACCTGGGGCTCCACCCCTGC